TACTTTTTAAAATATTACTGTTTTTAATATAAAAAAAATACCATTAATTATAAAATAAAAATTGGAATAATTTTTCTAAACTTCCGTAATATTTGAAACTTTGTAAGAAGTCTTATCATTTCTAAAAGTATGAACGTGAATTCAGAAAAACTTTTACGTTATATAATTTAAAAAATTAATTATATATGAAATTCATATTAGAAAATTATATTCAATATTACAATTGTTAATAAATTATATTTTATTAGTCTTCAAGAAAACTTAAGTACTTTCTAAATTTAAAATAAAGGCAATTAATTTATAATTAGGTAAGTAAAATTTACTATAATACAACAAAGAATTCTTAATCTCGTTATTTAATTAAAATACATAATTCTATAAAAATAAAGATCTTTTGAAAATATCAAGAAATCTTATTATTAAATTAAAGCAATTATTAAATTATTCCATGAGAAAATATAAATAAAAACGATTTAAAAATAAAATGTTTCATAAATTAGTTATTAAGAAAAATTTCCACATTTCTTTAAACAATAATAATAATATTTATTATTATTATTATTATTATTATTAATGTAAAATAAAAACAGCAACTTACTTAAAAAATGTTATCCGCAATTGATATAGAACAATTAATTAATTTCCATTTAATTAACCATTCACTTAAATTTATTTTCACTATACGGAGCGAAATTGACAATAAATTGAATTCACTTGACAAATTTCTACACCAAGAACACCTAGCTCCATCTCTCGAACAAACTTTTCACTTTCCTCAAATATGACAAATGTGGCGCATTTGACCGGTGGCGCATTTGTCCAGTGGCGCATTTGAGAAATTACCTGTGCGTATAGATGACGAAGAGAAGGAGATATAATGAATGCAGAAATGGCCGAGTGAGGGACTACACTGAAAGAAACTTTGTTACAATATTTAATATTTTAGGGTCACTATTTAGTATATTTAGTTACCAGTGTTGGACATTTTGGTATAGTAAGGATTTTCCTTGCTACTTTTAAGAAGGCTTAGAAGTAAAATAAGTAAATATAATATATTTGAAAAGATAATTTAGTATAATCTTCACAAAATTAGAAATTTTTGTATTAAAACTCGAAATGTCAAATTCTGATACGTCCTTTAAGAAGTATTATAACCAAATATTTCAAACTCCGTAGTTAGAATTCTGTTTAAGTCCGTAATAGTTTCAAATTTTGATAAAGTTGATATGAAAATGCACGAAAAATTAAAAGAAAAAATTGACGAGAATTGTCAAAACTTGCCGAAGTTGAACGAATGAGTCTTGCCTGAATTAACTGACTCTAAACAAGCAGTAACAAATCCGCCACGACGCTTTACTACGATCCATTACGTCTGTACGACCTTAACTATATTTATCAGTTTTATTTTGAAGGTGTTAAATAAAAATTGTTTTTTAAAACATAATACAATGTTTGATATTTTATTAATTAATTATAATTTTTATTTTTGGTTTTAAACATCCCAATGGGAAATTAACCATTGGCGCAATAATGGTCCTATATTGGGAGCCAGCAGTACCAATGATGGTGCAATAATAGCAACCAATATTGGGCCACTATTGCCAGAGTCTTGGGATGATCACGACTTTGCCAAGGCAAATGCCGGACTTTCCAAGTATTGGATATTCATTGGCAACAAAGATTTGACCAATATTAATGACCGCAAATAATTAATGCTTTAAAATTAAATTAACGCTTCGTTATTTTTTGGTTACCAATACTGAACCAACGTTTGAAATCAATGTTTTACAAATACCAACATATAGCAAAAATTTAAAAAAAATTAAATTACTAATCTAAAGAAAAAAAATAATTAATTTAATTAGAACACCCTGTTAAAAACAGAATGTGATAAAAATCAGACAAAGACAAAATTTGTCTAAGTTTGAGAATGCAAGCGTCTCTTCTTATATAGAACTGGTGAAACAACTTGCTAAGGAGAGGAAGAAACTTTGGCGCACTCTGGTGGCACTTATCCAAAGTAATTTCGAGCATTTACTTTGAAGCAGCGCGGGACATTTCAAAATCGAACACCAGGGTGCGCCAAAGTTTCTTCCTCTCCTTAACAAGTTGTTTCACCAGTTCTATATAAGAAGAGACGCTCGCATTCTAAAACTTAGACAAATTTTGTGTTTGTCTGATTTTTATCACATTCTGTTTTTAACAGAGTGTTCTAATTAAATTAATTATTTTTCCTTCTCTAGATTAGTAATTCAATTTTTTTTTTTTTGAAAAATGTTTACTATGTGTTAGTATTAGTAAAATATTGATTTCAAACGTTGGTTCAGTATTGGTAACCAAGAAATAACCAAGCATTAATTTAATTTTAAAGCATTGGTAAATAATTGGTCATTAATATTGGTCCAATCTTTGTTGCCAATGAATATCCAAGGCTTGGAAAGTCCGGCATTTGCCTTGGCAGCCAATAGTGATCCAATATTGGCTGCCAATGCTTGGCAAAGTCGTGATCATCCCAAGACTCTAGCAATAATAGCCCAATATTAGTTGCCAATGTTTGACCAAGAAAAAACTGTTGGCAGCCAATATTGGTCCATTATTTAGCCTTTGGTGAGCATTGTCAATTTCCCATTGGGATTTTTAAATATATTTTCACCTATCTCACAAGCGCAGAAAAATCTGTCTGTTTAGTATATAAGACAGCTCACATATTTCCACAATATCATAAATTATGTATTTGTACACTCAGAAAAAGAGTTGGCTGTCATAACCAATTAAATAGTTGCTATAGCGCGATCCAATCAATTGGTTAGCACATCCAACTATTGGATACTGTTTCCATGCGAAAAGGTACCCCAGCTATGTATGTAATGCAGTTAAGGTAATGCAGCTAAAAAGTTGGATGTATCAACCAAGAAATAGTTGCCCCATCTAATTAATTGGATCGCGCTATAGCAACTATTTAATTGGCTATGGCAGCCAACTCTTTTTCTGAGTGTATGCGAAGTCTTATACACTGCGTTTATGTATGCGTTTCGTCGTTAGTGTGTGTTTGCCGATGTGAATTCTCAATGCATTATATGTGGTAGTGTGTGTGTGTGTGTGTGTGTTAAGAAGAAAATTTAGAAAATCCATTGTTGTCTATCATTGAGTAAAAAAGGGAGTAAACTTTGGCGAAGAATTTGGTCGTCTGCTGTCACGACCATATACTATAGTTCTGATTTTTTGTTAATAGTTTTATCAAATTATGAAAAAATCGTTCTGAATTTTCGTATACATTTTGTAAATAACGAATGGGCGCGTCTGTTTACTCACATGGTTGCTACTTTTTTTTCGTATACTTTTATTAATATTCAAAAATTCTAAATTCAGAATAAGAAATAATACTTTTAATTTCTTGAATATACTCACTTTAAAAGCTATTCGTAAAATTATATCAATCTTTGATATCAACCCTGAATGTCCTACGTTTGAAAAATAAAATACTAAAATTTCCTGTCAGCTTTATCATATATTGTAACAAAGTTTCTTTCAGTGTAGAAAGGATGCAGGAAATGTGGAAAAAATGGTAAAAATAATCAGGGAGGGCAGTGAAAATGAAGGTTTTGATCGAAAAGTTAGTGATTTATAAAAAACAGTGGAATGTATGGAAAAGGAAAAAAGAAAGATGAATATAGTGATTAGAGATATGAATGTAGGATTGAATGAGGTAAGAAAAGAGGTGAAAAAATTGACTGCAAGGATAGGAGTAAAAGTTTACATTAAGAGAGTACATGCGATAGGAAATGATGTGGATGAAATTCAAAAAATATGGTTGGTAGAGTTGGCAAGTTAGGAGGAGAAAGAAGAAGTCATGACATAACTTTACATCTTTTAATATTGTTGTTACATTTTCGAGTTGTTTTTTATTCCACATGCAACGATTACTTGTTTTTTAAAAACATTCTTCTAATTTACTTTCAAATTCAATTTTATTTACAATATTATTCTCCATTATCCAGAGCACTTATTAAATTAACTGTTACTCAAAGCAGATAGCAAGAAACTAATTTTCATTTTCAATATTATGCAATTCAAAATAAATGATACAAAATTCAAATTGCCAATAAATATAAAGTTGACAATAAATAAATAATGTTTACAAAACTTGTTTATAAATCGATGCTTACACTCTGGTACATAATACACGTCAAATTTTCTATTTGCCGGAGGCCATTTAGGCAAGTAGCTTAATAACGAGAAAATAAGCTTAATTACTGATTGACTCTAGGCAAATAGAAGAATACACATCTTCCACATGTCCATTCTTCTATTTGCCAAAATTTAGCTTAATTTCTAGGCATTAAGCTACTTGCCTAATTTCTCTATATATATCTCGGTCAAAGAACAAGAAAAAATATGAGGTCATGATTTACTTTCGCCACTCTCTTCAGAGGAATTGAGAAAAGTTCTACTTTCCAGACACTTATCTAACAAGAAAAGTACTCCTTTTCTCAAATGCAAATGAAGAACAAAAAAAATTATACACCGTTTTTATTTATATACACCAAAAAATGTACACAAAGAGTAAAATTTTTTGCAAAGCCACACGGAGAGAAAAAAACAAGGCTTTTCCCTGTGACTTCAATTCATGCCTTTTTCAGGTAGGAGTTTCACCGGATTTCCCGATGAATTTTTTGCGTTTAGCGGTTAGGCCATGCCTTAGCCCCTATTGGCCTTAGCTCGTTGCAAGAATCTCACAGGGAAAACCCGTGAGCGTCCTGAATTTTTACTGTGATAATTTTCACGCGTTAAATGCATATTTTTTCATGGGGAAAAGCCTTGTTTTTTCTCTCCGTGCAGTAAAATAAAAAGTTTAACTAAACTTCATTCTAGTCAAAATTAAAGGTTAATATATAATTGAAGAAGAAGTTGAATATAAAAGTTAACCCCATATTTATTTTAAGTGAAATTGTTAAAAGTGAATAAAAGAACTGATATTAATGACATATTGTGTTACTTACGTTAGACAAATGATTATGTTGTCCCATTTGTTGGCTAAGAACTTGGGTCTGTTGATTCTGATGCTGATGTGGATTGTGGCCGTGATGAAAATTTTGTCCAGGACCCGTTGGCATGGGGGGCAGTTGTCTCTTGATATGTTCTAAAGATGAAGGTGGATGCAATGCCATATTGGCAAACACCAATCTCTCTCCATAATCGTACTCACAGAGAATTTTATTTTCACACAAGTAAAACTTATCACCAACACAAAACCTGAAACAAAAAAAATTTACACTTATTATTATTTAAACCAATTTAAATTAAAAAGTCAATAACTTATTCTATATTTATAAAAAATAGTTAATAGTAACAAAGTAGTCGTAAATTTAATTAATAATTTAACTAAAGATAAAAGCTATAACTAACTAAAATGAAGAGATTATTATGGCCGACTGTAAACTGATTTTTACTACTGAAAGTAATCAGTTTACAGATTTAGTCAGGTATAAATTATAAAAATTCCAATTTTATTATTTTCAATAGGAAACAGATGACTTTAGTATAAGACAAATTCATTATTATTTTTAGTTGTATAAACTGATTTTTTGTCAGATGGAGAATTTTATTTTTTGTTATCTTCTATTTTTCCATGTAAGTAGTGAAGATCCGTTTTAGTCATACACTTAAGGGTGTTTCTTATTTCGGCGATGTTTCCAAATCTTCGGTCTCACCCCAAAAAATTAATCAAGATATAAAAAAAAAAATTTTCCTGAATGTTTTAAGCAAATTGAACAATATTAACACGTGCCTCTAGTCGACTGGAATTTTAAATGGAAAATAGGGTAAGTGTGCCAATTACTGCAAATGCCCCAATTACTGTCAGTTTGAATGAAAATGATGATTTAAAATATTTAGTATAAATATAATTTTTGTAATGAAAGAATTAATTTTATTTATAATGTTATTTAAATAATTACAATGAAAATAACCATATAAAAAATATTTTTATAATTTTTATATTAATTTCAAATATGCAAGTGACAAAAGTGGCTAATTTTACTTCAGAGATTTGTGGACATGCCATGTACGCGTTTGTAGAAAAGTATATATATTTTCGTCTTTCAAGAAAAAATATTTATTGCAATAGTATTCTTCGATTTAAAAATAAATAATTTTTCAAAATATCTATTATAAAACATAAAAAATTAAGTAGTTTAGTTTTAGCTTTTAGGTTTTAAACAATAGTTAAATAAGTGCAATGAGTAACCGAAATAAAAAAAATGTTCCAAAGAAGGTGGAGAAAAAAAAACCAAAGAGAAGTAGAATGCAATATTCTAAAGATAGTGTAAAATTAGCTCTAGAAGAGGTTATGTCAGGCAAATCGGAAAAATTAAAATTTCAAAGAGAATCTGAGAAATTAATGAAAAAAAACAAAAATGAAAGATTTGGAAAAAAGAAGAAAGCAAAAGAAGAATTTCTTTTTAAAAAAAAGTTGATAAATAAAAAAAAAGAAACAAAAAATCTTTGAGCGTTTTCTAAAAAATGTGTTCTTATTTCTTACCCTTTCTTTCTTGTTATAATATATAATAATTTAATTTAATTAATAACAGTTTTTTAATAAAATGTGTTAAAACTCCTAAGTTCTTTTTATTTATAATAATTGAATTTAATTGTAATAGAATAGCAGTTTTCAGACAAAATACTTATAGTAATTACGTCATTTGCAGTAATTGGGGCATTGATTGACAGTAACTCACACAAAGTGACAGTAACACCAGCATTGACAATTTTTTTAAAAATGTGTGTTTTTCTAAGTTAAATATGTTTCTTTTAGAGTTGGAATCCTACATTTACTTTTATTAGATCCCAATATTGCTAGAAATACTAGTTTTATGTTATTATTTTATTTTTGAATAATTTTTCAATTAAGAAAATTCGTAAATAAAAGTATAGAAATTTTTTTGTATGTACCTATCTAATAATTTTTAGAGTGAATCAGAATATTCTTTATGATCAGGAAAAAAATCAAAATTCTTTCTAGAAATCAGAGAAAAACAAAATTAAATATTTGTGGTATTGAAAAATTCAAAATTATTTAAAAATGAAAATTCTTTTATTTTTATTCTCAAAAATTTTGAAATTTTATTAAGTAGAAATTTGTTTATACAATGCAACCAAAATAATATACCTCTTAAGGTAGTATTCTGGTCTGTTTTTCCGAGTAGGATAAAAAAGAAAGTTTAACACTTTTAGTATTTACTTTCGTTGCAAATTGTTTATTAATGTTTAAAAATACAGAAAACAATTAGGAAAAAAAATTAAAATTTTTTTAAAGCTATAAACTGGTAAAGTGGGGACTGAAAAAAAGAAAGTGCAAACTGGTTGACAGTGTGGAGAGTTTTGTAATGCTCTAAAACAAAAAACCCAAAGAAATTCTTGATTATTACAGGCTTCGCTATGATCGGTACATTGGAAAAGAGAAAAATTTTTTTTTAGCAAAATGGCGACGATTTATAGAAAAAAGTTGTGTTTTTTTAACATTTTTGAATTTTTGAAAATTAAAAAAATTTATTTTTTAAAATCCAAGGTTCCGATCACAAAGAGATATATATACAAAGAACATTTCTGCAAAATTTAAAGTAAATCGGTTGAGTAGATTTTGAGTTATCGTGCGTCAACCAGAATTTTTTTCAGTTATAAACTTCAACAGTTTATTACTTAAAATTTTTGTATTGTATTTTTCTGTATTCTTTAAATATTAATAATCAATTTGGAAAAACAGCTGCCAAGTTGTACATTTTTATAATTTTGGTGTTCATTTCATGAACACTTTGCTTCCTCATAGAAATAATAATAATTGAAATATAAGAATTACTTTTTATAAAAGGGTTAAAGATCATTAAATCTTGGTCCAAAAAATGTTTTTATATATTCTATAAGATGGTAATAATAGTTTAATAATTACACATAAGTTAATAAACAAGAATGTTAAAAAAATGATATTTTCCACAATTTTTGAATTTTCCAATACAAATAATTTTATAATTTCTGCCCGAATCAGGTTAAAAAATAGGTCAATCGAAGCGTTTTTTAATGCTCTTCAAGTTGGTAATAATTTTTTGAAGTTACTTTTACATAATTTAAAAAAAATTTTATAAAAGTCTTATTTTTCAAAATTTTAGATTTTTAAAAGTTTAATATCTCCACTGAGAAAAATAGAGTTTGAAAAACTGGGAGTCAATATTGAAAAAACTGGACTCAGTCCACTAAAAGTACATTAATTCATTTCCATCAAGCATCTTAGGGTGTTGCGTATAGTGGATAGAGGGTCTTAGTTTCAAATGTCACTGTAAAGAGCATTGAAACACAGGCGAAGATTATAAGGCGCGCTGCAGTGTGCATAGTAGAGAAACTGGACTCAGTCCCCTACTTCGAAATTTTCACAATAAGGTAACGCAGGCGCGGAACCTGTCAAAATAAATGGCCGACGAGACGCGAAACGAGTGTTTCCTTTTATTCACTTCGTCAATTTTATATAAAAAAACAGTAACCAATCATTAAAAAAAAAAATATATGTTAAATGCACTCTTTATATATTCATATTCATTAATTCACAAGTTTTATTCTTCCCACATCTTCATACTTACAATTAACAACTAAATGCATCGGAAAATCTTACAATCATACGGGATTGAACACCTACCTAACCATACAACTAAATATACGCATAATTATAAATCGCACGCTTTTACATTAAGCCTCTCGGCTACGCAATCGATGGGGGAAATTTCCTATTTAAGAAACATCCCTTACCAATGAAATAAATTAGATGATGCGTGGATTTTACTTTGTAATTAATGTAAGTATGGATGTCAACAATATTCATAATATTGAATAAATATAATATTGTCAACTAGTTTAAATTTGATACGCGGTTATTAGAATTTAATAATAAATAAATAAAAAACATTAATTTTTTCCTAACCTTTTTCAAGTTTGACACTCCTCATGGTAAATTTGATTATTCTTTTTTTCTGTGTACAAAATAGTAAATTGACGTTGAATGAAATGTATAATTAATTATTCTCACAGCAATATTTAATAATTTAATGAACTTAACTGCACTGCATAAGGGTCCGTACACATAATACGTCACGCAGCTAGGGGGAGGGAGGGGGTCTGAGAATTGTGACTTAGTGTGACATGGGGGAGGGGGGGTGAACTCATGTGTTACGTCACAATCTTTTAAATTCAAAGATTATAAGAAATTATATGTGACAATGTCACTTTTTCTAAATAAAATATGTTAAAAATGCTTTAAACTATTTAATATCAATTATGAACCTGTTTAACATCTATAGGTATATTATTTATAATATGATAAATAATATATTCTCTTAAATTGAATCAGTTAAAATTCATGGTATTAACTGACAATCAGCAGTGACTGACTTTTTGCTTCTGAATCAGTTAAAAATAACTGAAAAATTATCCACAAAACACCGAAACTTTTTTAAATATGTATATTAAAGATTTGCTTGCATACTTAGAAACATTTACTTGCAAAGTATAGTTAAGATTGTGTAAAGATTTAAATTTCTCACTCCAATAAATGTTTATCATCAAATTTTCTTAAAAATGTAGCTTGAAGCTTTCCTGAACATTTGAATTACATTTTCGACTATACTTTCGTGAAAATTTTCCTGAAAATTTAAGTTAAATTTTTAAGAAAGTTTCGCGCTAAACATTTATTGAAGTGGAATATTTAAACCTTTATACAATTTTCACTAAACTTTGCATTTAAATATTTCAAAGCTTACGAGTAAATCTTTAATAAATTTTTTGGAAAGTTTCGGTGCTATGTAATTAAACGTGACTAATTGAATCAATAAAAAAAATGTATTGAAGCATCAGTTATTTTTAACAAATTGTCAGAAAAAAAATATTACTATTTGAATTAGTGACTGACTTTTTGCTTCTAAATCAGTTATTTTTAACTGATTCAATAATTTAGAGAGTAGGATATAATATATAATGTCCAATGTATAAAATTTATAGTGAAATTTACGTGTGTGACGTGACGTTGTAGGGGGAGGGAGGGGGTTCAAGGTTTGTGACGAAGTGTGACATAGAGGGAGGGAGGGGTTAAAAATGGTCAAAAATCGCGTGACGTATTATGTGTACGGCCCCTAATAGTTGAGAGCAGTAATAGTAAGTGAAACGGTAAGATAAGTGAACGACCATTAGTGTGAGAGAGAGAGAGAGAATAACTT